TTTTTTTTTTTTTGTTAATACTATTTAGCGCCTGAAGCTGCAGACAAAAAATTCGAAAAAAAGTTTAAGTATTCTATTGAAAAAAATTTATCTTTTACTTACAGCACAAAAGTCAACTGTACAATGAAAAACTTTTAGGAAGTTCCATTGCAATAATAACGAAAAAACCAGTAAATCATTCTGTATATGTTCAATTATGGTTAACCAGTACTTTATTTGTAGTCTGTTTTATGTACCATTATTACCGATTCATGAGTTATAATTAAGCTCTTGACACCCACTTTTTGAAATACATTTTTTTGGAGTTCACATACTATGAAATGAATCAGTGTTTGCTATATAAGTATCAACAGCACACTGTTTTTTTGTTAGATTGATAATTCATATTACCAGAAATATACATTTTTTATTGATACCAACAGGCCAAAAAATACAATGTTTTCACAGTTAACTTCGGCTACTGTAAGAATATTTAATAAGCAAAAAGTTATTGTAAGCCTATTTAATGACAATTTTGGTAAACTTTAAAAAAAACTAATTACTTGTTTGTTTGAGAGTGAGTATTTTTATCTGCTCTGACTGACTTGCATTTTAGGTTCCTTACACATTCTTCAATTTTTTCTATTTCCGACTTAGAGCTAAATTTTTTTATTTGGATTTTTGCATGTGCGTTATTAAAACAAAAACAGAAGAAAGGTGCATTTAAAAAGCATTACTGATAGTCTGCTGAATACATAAATAAGCAAAGAAAAAAGGCAGCATTACATTGAAACAGGCTCGAGCTCTTCAAGTTCTATACAGTATTCTTCAAAAATTGAAAATGGCCAGCGTTCGATTTCATCGGTGCGCTCTGTTTTTACTTCAGCTTTTTCAGGATTATCTTCTTTTAAACATTCTGAGTGGGAATTTTCATCTGGGGAAGATGAGTTCACTAGTTCCTTATCTGATGGCATATCCTGCAAAGATTTCTTTTGTACAGGGCTTTTGGTGACTTTGGTCTGCAAATAAGATAATTTTTCTTGCTAAAAGATCAAACTAAACTGTTTCTTGCAATTTGTTCTGCCTTAAACGATGCTTAAACTAGAAGTTGGTCTGGGGAGGGTGTATCACCCAAGTCTCTTAATCTCAAATATGGCAGTTGGAGCTATATAAACCTGACATAATTATTTTATTGTAAAACAGTTTATTTTCTTGTTTTTACATAGTCAATGTCTTAAAAATATGGAAAGAGAGTTTACTGCAATTACAAGTTCAGTTTTTCAAAACTTAAAACTGAGAGAGACTCGATTACATTAATGCGCTCTGTTTTTACCTCAGCTTTTTCAGGATTATCTTCTTTTAAACATTCTGAGTGGGAATTTTCATCTGGGGAAGATGAGTTAACTAGTTCCTTGTCTGATGGCATATCTTGCAAAGGTTTCTTTTGTACAGGGTTTTTGATGACAGCGTTCTGCAAATGAGATAAATTTTCTTGCACAAAGATCTAGTTCTACTGCTTTTCGCAATTTTTCTGCGCCAAACAGACCAAATGCCTGTTTATACCAGCAATGCCTGAATTGTAGAATGAGTAGAAAAAAGTGAATTATTCGTGTCTCTTAGTCACACTAGAACTATCAGAACTCTATAAGATTGACAGAACTATGTGGATGTAAATCAGCGTCTCATTTTTTTTCTTACAGTTGATCTTTTGAAGAATGCTAAAAGTAGATTCTTGAACAAAGTACTGAATCACTTGTTTGTATACGGTTTTGTGGAGGCTTACGTGTAGAAAAATTTTTTATCTCAGTAAATAAATAATCAAAAACTTTCCCGATCTTTTCTATTTTTAAATAAATTTAAGAGTACCTTCTGAACGTTGTAAATACACCTTATGCGAATTTAAGCTTGAGATTTGTTTTCTCACGTCTTTACTGAATTATGCAGGAAAACTTTTTTAAAGATGACAAGTAACGAGGAATTCGCTTGGTGATGTTAAATTAAATTTTAACAGCTAATTTTGGTCTATATTTATAGTTTTTCAACCTCTCTTGCTCTGTCCGATTTCAAAACAAAAATTTCAAATTTTAACAACAGGTGTTTAATATCCTGGCATGCACTTTGTGCTATTAAAATTTTTGATTATTCCTTTTCTGACTCAGGTTTTGTAGAGGATATTTGACTCATCAATACAATTTTTTCATCTTTCTTTTCTTTTAAAAGTTTTCTCATCTGAGTTTGGCTAACACACATCACTGCAAATGAAGCTCTCAGATAAACTTATTTTCAAATATCACTTTTTTAAAATACTTTCTGACTCGATAAGGAAGAAAAATATTTGTGAAAAAAATTTTTTTTGTCGAAATAATCAAAAATTTGTATTTTTACTAATTCTAAGAGGAATTAGAAAGCAAAAAAGCGTAAAACTTTTACAAACGACAAATTTACTTTTTTTAACGTTTCAAAACGTTCAAGAATATTGTCAAAAGTTGGTCTTTTTCCGGGAACTGTCTTCCAACACTGCTTAAGCAGGCACTGAAGATCCTTTGGCAATTTATTTGGAACAGGTAAACCGAGACCACTAAAATGATGTTTTTTCTCTGCAAAAGTAGCAGTAAAACCTTTAATGAGTAATTTATTAAAATAAATCGGTTTAATAAACATACCCGCATTCGGCTCCTCGAATAATATCAACAGAATCCAAATCTTTATAGGGATCTCTTCGCATTATAAGCTCCCAGATCAATACGCCAAAGCTCCAAACATCTGCCTGAAACTAGTGCTACAAAAAAATGTATTTGAACCAACATCCAGGAAAACAACAACTTTCACTTTTTTAGCACTGTATGTCAAAAAAATACAAAAAATATGCCCACTTTTATACTATTTTTATACTCCGCAAGCAACTCTGGGGCCGTGTAAGCAATAATTCCACAATCAGCCATATGCAGATTCTCAGTTCGCAGAGCCGAAGAAGATATTCCAAAATTAAAAATCTTTAGCATGTTCTGATCGTTGATCAAAACGCTGAAATGTGAAAAAAAAGGTAATAATTTGCTTTATATCGTCGGAGGACAAAAGAAGATATGTAAAACTTACGACTCAGGTCTAAGGTCTCCATGAGGCAGCCCTTTTGAGTGTAGATACCTTAGTCCATCTGCAATTTGTCTGCCCCAATCAAGAATAGTTCTCATATCAATTTTTCGATCACTTTTTATTACTTTTTTTAAAGATCCCTTCTCGCAATATTCCATGAAAACACGAAAATTTTTTTCTTCTGTGCAAATGCCTCTAAAAATTCATCTCTAGCCACACAAAAAATAGCACTATAATAGCATTAAAAATTTAGATCTTTTTATTTGAAAGTTTTAAGACAGTGGTTGTTACAAAAAATTCAAAAAAAAAAAAAGAAAAAAAAAAGAACAAATGAGTAATGCTTACAAAAACTGAATTAAATTCGGATGATTAAGGTGAAGCAGGTGAAAAATATCTGTTTCTCCTACATCGTAAACTTTTTTTACCGCAATTATTTCTCCATTATATTCTCCTTTATACAGTTCACTTTCTTCTTCTTTTTTGAGCAGCAAAACTGACTCTGTCGGTATCTCTCGGGCGCCTAAAACAGCCAATTTCAAATATAAAAAACTTAATTTCAAAAAGCAGCATTAAAAATGTAAGTACAGGAAATTCTAATCAACATTTGTTAACATGCCGTTCAAAAGCATTGAATTAACCTTAGTATTAAATTTTGTCCAAAATTAATTTTTTGATACAAGGTTTTTACAAGAAACGGTTAAAAGTGTCCATAAGTAAATACAAAAGACTAAAATAAATACCGGTCAAGTTTTTCAAAATTAAGTGTTCAAAAAACTTTTTAATAAATATTTTCTAGTTTTTGTTGACAGTAATATTAATTTTAAGAAAAGACATTACTTTCTCTCAAACGTTTCAACAACAAAAACCGAGAGCGTCATCTTAATTTTTTGCACTTTTTTCTGTCTTCTTTCTCTTTTTTCCCTAGTAAAAACTTTCAAAACAAAGACGTTTGAGATCGTAACATTTGTAACAATTAAGTTACTCTAATATTTCTAAATGCTGATTATTTGTCATTTTTTACTGTTTCTTCTTAGGTTCCAACAAACTTTATTTTTTTTTCGTGATTTCCATTTTGCGCACTAATGGTTAAGTACAATAAATAGATAAATGAGACATGCAGTTGCTTCTGCAATATGTCGATGAAATCGCAGCTGAAGAGATCAACAAAAGGAATACAATTATTGCCTCATCTTACCTGTAAAATATTTTACGCAAAATTTTTTATTAATAATTGATCACTACCTTACTGTTTTAACTAACCTTTTAGATACCTGGCAATATCTACATATGAGTTTTCCTGTGCAACTTCATAAGCAGTTTTCTGCAATAAAAAAAAGTAAATTTTTTTTTTTCATTAATATTCAAAATTTTGATCAACAGTTAAAAATTCAACATTTAAATTTACTGTTATTAAAAAAAAACAGCAAAGTAGCAACCTTCTGTGCGATTATTCTTTATTAATGCAAATAATTGTAATTTTACAGCTCTCTCCAAAACAGACAATAAAAATTTTGTTTTTTTTTTTTTTCAATGTTGGCTGTACATTCTGATTAAGTTTATAAATAAATCAGTTTTAACTGAACAGTACTGATAAAGCTTAATAGTGGCATAGTAATCATAGAGTGTAAGAACCCAAATACAGAAAAGTTATTAAATATGGTTTTACTCCGTTTTTGTCTCTGATGTTCACATCGGCATTGTGCTCTGCTAAAATATCTACTACGCCACTGTGTCCATGTGCGGCTGCAATGTATAACGGAGTTTCCTAAAACAAAATTTGTTTTAAAATTTTTTTCAAATAGAAAAACAAAAAAAAAAAAATAAAATAAAATAAATATTTATTTTAATCAGTCTAAAAAAATTATTTTTTTTATAAAATAGTTCAACTTTACAAAACAAAATTACACGACATGCTAATTCAAATAAATATTTTTAAAATTTCACCGATTCATTATTTTTTTCATTGACATTGGCTTCTTTATTCACCAAATACTCAACGACTTCTTTATACCCTTCTGAAGATGCAACAAATAACGGTGTTCTCTAAAATAACGACAAGAAAACTTTTGTTAAACTGCGATTCTAAACTGTTTACATTGTTGAAATATATCACTGCTGTAGTCGTTCACATGCCAGCAGTTTTCTACTTTGTCAAACCATTTTTTAGGTAATTACTTGAATAAGCAATGTCTTTTCGCCGCTTAAAAAGTCGCAAAAATTTGTTTTTCAGAGTTTTTAAGGCAGAAAGTGCAGTGAAATTATACCCCCAATTTATCCTTGGCATTGATATCAGCTGCGTTTTCCACTAACTGCCTCACCACTTCAGTGTGTCCTTTCGAAGCTGCGATAAACAATGCTGTTTCCTAAATTATGCAAGAGTATTGTTTAATCAACTACGGATAAAATTCCAACTGAACACTTCTGAGATTAACCTAGTAGTTAGCTTTATGTACACAAAAAAACTTTTTTACTAGTATGCCGTTAATTTTAAAAGTGTTATTTTTTTCACTAAAGAAATTTGAAACTTTGAGAATTTTT